TACAATATGCTTATTTTATCAAAAATAGACCATTATGAAAACAGGCTTTTGCACCTGCTCTTCGTTAATTTTTGAAGTTAGATAGCTCTGTGTTGTCTTTTCTACAAAGCAGCAGAGGGCACTTGGGGGTTATTAGCAGTAAATATTTGCTGAATGTAGAGTCTAATGCTAATAGTAAAATAATCAACTCCTAGAATTATAGTGTAACTATTGTTAAGCAAAGAAACCCCAAAACTCCCAAAAAACCCAACAAATACACCCCCCTAAAACTTTCAGTAATGGGGAACTATTATAATATTTTGTACTATTTTTAGGAGGATTAGAATTTGGCATAAATTTAAGTTGTAGTATTAGTGTATTGCTATGAAATTGGAAAACAAATAATAAAAATGTAATGGTATTGCAGAGCAGTAGATGGGTATGTCATAACTTAAAAAATATCCATCATAGTTGACATATTTTCTTAAAAAAAAATAAATGTCTGGAAGTAGTAGCTCTGGTTGAACCACAGAGTTTTAGTTTCACATGTAGCGCATGAAATTAATCCAACATTGGATCCAACATAATCAAATTCCTGTTGGAATTGTCCTGAAAGCTTTTCCAGAGGAAAAAAGTCTCAGCAATGAAAATTTGGTTTAGGAAAAAAGTAGAGGTCAGTCTTTTTCACAGATGTTAAAAAGAAGATAATCAAACTAGGGTTTTTTGTAATTTTTCTTCAGAAGCAAATATTAGTAATTCGCTTTTCAACAAATAACAAATGTCTTTGCAATTAATTTTGTATGATTGGCCCTTGGTTATCAGCCAAGAAGTGTGATCAGCCATATTTTAGTGGTTCTGCAAAATGTCATGTCCATAAAGTTTAGATCTGTTCAGTGATCAAAGAAGTGGGCATTTCTTAGCGATACTCAATTGTCTGTGTAGCATGCAGCTTTACTGTGGTGTGATTTATATCAGCTGTATTTCTGTAGTTTTGCTGCTTTTTAAACTTTCATGTTTCAAAAACGCCGACCCTCTGCATTGTGAGTGTGTAAGTGTGTAAGTTCCTGCAGGGAAGGGTTGTTGTTTCAGCACTTGGGAATCCTGACAGTGAGGGACAACTCACATTGCAGGATATAAAAGGATCTTCATGTTACTTTAAATGTAAAATGGAGCAGGAGTTTTGGCTTTAGGACTGGAAAATATTTGTTATCTTTAAAAACTTCTCAGCCTCAAAGTTTTGGTGGAATTTTACTTAAGAATTCTGGTTTTTTTCCATTTACTTTTTAACTGTGAGGGATGGAAAAGAGAGGCCAATAGGAAGAGTTCCAAACTTCAGATATTTGCTTCTTGCTCTGATTTTGTGAAACTGTTTTGGAGTTATTTTGACCTAAACTTGTGTGGTAAGATATAATTGTATGAAATATACCACTAATAAAACTGGAGCAAAAAATACCAGCTTTTGAATAGTAGTTGGATAACTGTTAGTTTGCCGTAAAATCAGTGAAAGTATTTAAAGGATGGTAAATACTTACCTCTTAAGTTAAGCTAGATGGACACCATTGATACTGAAGGGGGCTTGAAATCAGTATTGCTTATATTTTTAACAGTAAAATATCTTACTGGTTTTTGGTTTCTGTATTTTTTTTTCTAATTTATAATACCTTTTTTAAAGTGTGACCTTTCTTATATTTAAAATAACTTTGTATTACTTCTAAAACTTAACTGAATCTTACTTCAGAAATGATTTAAAGTTTCCTTATGATAAAAAGTACAAAGCTGCTCTTTACATGTGTAGTGCTGCGAGACTTCTGTGGTTTGAACCAAGACGTTGTGCTGGTTGCCTGTCTCAAATTGAATTGCATTGGCTGAAATGGAAAGTATTTGGAAAATTTTGAGATTGAAATGGTGGAAAAATATTGTTATGCCCAAGTGAGTTATTTAGAAATGTTTTATTATTGCTCAGTTTTTCAAGGAAGAAAGTTGAGTTTGGCTGCACTGAGGTTGTTTCAGTACCTAAGGGCTGTGTGAAATTCAACAGGACTTTCCATGCGTTTGCAATTCAGGACTGCGTTGGGACGAGGTAAACCTGAGCATAACAACAAGGGTATGGGTGGGCAGGAGAGGGAAAGCTGGTACAAAGAAGTGTTTATTTAAAATACAAGTAGAGCATCTTTTTCAACCTGTACTCTCATTTTCTTCTTCTTCCCTGGTGGAAAAAGAGAGGAAATTGCCTGGACTGAGTGTACAGGCAAGAAAGGCAGGGTCTGACTGGGGTAAATGGGAGCTCCTGAGCAGCCGCCGCAATACAAGACCAACAGCTTGGAGTCAGGGGAGCTGGAAAGCTGGGTCCATGCTGGGATTAGGAACCAGTGGGCAGAGTGAAAGACATGGTGGGGATGAGAGAATGTATCTGAAGAGCAAGCAGGACCAGGAGTACAGTAAGACTGTTTGGACAAAGAATTAATATTGGGGAAACTGCTATTGGGTTACAAAATTGGAGAATGAGAGTGGAGAAACCTGCTTATTTTGTAGCCTAAGCCTGTATTTTGTAGTCTAGCACTAAAACTGATGTTTGGGAATGAGGGGAGGGGCTGGTAAAGATCTGTTACCTCAACCATGACAGAATACGCTGAGTTTAGAAGAAGCAGGTAGAGGACATTATGGTCACTGCAGTGCCATTTGGTGCTTGGAAACAAGCCAGTCCACATCATTACTGCTGCCAGTTCTTCTGCTTGAGTGGTAAATATGTGATACTTACGCTTTGTTAGCCCAGGTTTCAGTAAGTTTCCACGTGATTTTTTTTTTTTTTTTAGCTGGCTGTTTTAGGAATAATGGAGATATAAGTAGGCATATATTGGTGAAAAATTTTGGGAGAATTTGAGAGCTTCCAAATAAAACTCCCTGAAAATAGGAAAAAGCAGGTTGTCTGTCAAGACTGCTTTTTTCCTCAAGTGCAGTATGCTCCTGTAAATAACATGCAAGATATAAACCATCTTGTGTGGGCCTGCCCTGATGAACTGGTTTCTCCCCTGCCTCTGTTGCAATGACCTTATCCATTATCCAGTGATAAACCACTGAAGGAATAGCTAAATATGAATTGGTTTGTGGGTTGCCTCCCTCGAGGCTGTGCAGCTTGTGGAAGCACTGTGTATTCCCTAGGATGGCTGTAAAAGCAATGCTTTGAGAAATAAGCTTTTATCACCAAGGCTTCCAAGATGAGGGAAAGCATTTAACCTTAGTTTGAAAGCACCTCTGGCAGCTCCTGCGTGCGGTGATGGTAGAGGTGTGTCTTGGGCGCGAAGGGTCAGGATCCTCAAGGTTTGTGTTCAGTTGCTCTTCTGGCAGGCAGCCAGCACTGGCCCGTGCAACAGGAGGGAAGAAGGGCCGTGTACTTGAACAGCCTCTTTCAGCTAAACCTGAACGGATTTTGATGGGGTAAATAAATGTCGCTTTCTCCAGCCCAAAAAGCTCTCTCTTCCTCCATCTGCTGTTGTTTGCAGACAGCCTGTGAATTTCAAAGGCGTTAGTCTCTTCCGAGGTGGCAAGAATATTTTGCATTGGTAACTGTTCACTTGGAGAAGTGTAGCAGCTCCTCCTCCGAACAGTACGTATGTTATGAGGACTGTCATGCTTGAGTGTAATATAATGTCTTTCCACTAAATGAAATACCCACAGGAGACTGGCTGACTAGGAGCACTAGCAATGGGATATAGGCCCTTTAATCTCTAGGAATTATAAAGTATTTACAGCTGATGGCTGTATAATGTCATAACATAAGTAGTCACAGTCTTGCTTCCAAATAAGAGGTCTTAGTATCTCACATATCCCTGTTTAGGTGTTTTCAAGAAGGCCACAGATTTAATAATAGCGGTGATCCTCAGTGCCTCTCCTCTACTGATTTGGGCCTTGCCAATCCCAGCTGTAGCCCCCTGGTAGAAGGAAGTGAAGCAGCTTTGTCTTCAGTACCAAGTAGACTTCAGTTTCCAGGGCAAATACCTGGTTTTGCTGTGTGAGAAATTCTTTTGCTAAAATGCTAATATTTTTGCAATACAAATAGGATGGGATGAGGCTGCCCATGCTATTGGTGATGGCAGCTCGACAAATAAATGAAATGCCACTGCAGTGTAGTTGTTCGGTCCTTTGCTGATGACCATAGTTCAGTCTAGCAGAGATTGTTTGTTTGGAAAAGCTTGTCTTCAGCAGTGGCAAGTTTTAAGCTTTAAAGTGAGCATAAGATGTAGAGAGAACAGATGCCACCGCTAATTTCAGAATTTTTATGAAGATGAAAACAAGGATGTTCTTAGATTCTTTTCATTACTTATTTGATTTTGCTCATAATAAAGAAATATTGGCGATTATAATGATTTATGTGAGGCATAGCTTCTTCCAGTTATCAGAGATTGCCAACATATTTTGTCAACTTCTGGTGTTGTTTTGATGTTACTTTACATGTAAAAAAGCTTACTGGAGGAAAGATAATTTCTTTCTTATAACGCTTCAGATGGTAAGTTGTGAATAAACGGAAGTGTTACTCATTACTTCTTTTGAAAGATGATTAATTTTTTGGATGCTATAAATCTTCATCATCCCTTCTCCCCCCCCCTTCCTTTTTTAAGTAAAGCTGCTTCACTTCTGTAGCTTACATTGTACTAAATTGATGTTAAAGAATAGCATGGTTTAAGAAGATAAATGTCACGACTATCTTCTAAAGTAGACATTCAGATTTTTTTGGATTAGTGGGAAAGAAGGTCAATAATTGCATGGATTTCAGTAAGCTTGAGAAGAAATGGCAGTCCTGTGGTGCTACGGATTATTAAAGCATTGTGAATTAGTTTCATGATACTGTACTCGAGTTTAATATATCTTCCATTGTGAATGAATGACTTAGTAAGGGCTGACAACTTGTACAGATGATAGGAGATAATTAATAAAGCAGTTTTTAAGAGGAAAGAAAGGTTATAGCAGGCAATAGGTAAAATCCTAGATGGTAGTCTTAATCTTACTTCTGTCTTATTAAATAGGGCCCTCCAGACTTTCAGCAGCATACGCCTGGACCAGTTCCTACCAACTTCTCCCAAGCCCCACGGCTTCCAATCCAGGACCAGTGGAGAGGGCCGCCACCACCGCCACCACCACTCCCTCCTCCACCTCCTCAGGACAGAGATCCTTTCTTCATAGCAGGTAAGCATTTTAATTTCCATTAGTGTGCAAAATCCACTTTTTGTAAAGTGGCTATGCATTGTGTATGTCATATATAATACACATGTGTAATACCATGAAGTGGTTGGAAGAGCCTGAAGACCAGAAGATCTTGTTTGATGTAGTCAGACTAGTACATACCAAAAAATTCTGGTGCTCTGGGATGTTTTTCCTTCCCTCGTGTAATCTTGTGCCGTTGTCTGTAACTGCTACCAGCCTGTGTACTTATACAAGTACAAAGTAGAATTAATGTCAAAGTGATTGTTGCAATAAAGTTGTGGTGATTTGTTAAATTTTAGGTAACTAGTACTCTTCATTCACTTTGATTTCCACTAGTAACCTTTAAACCATTTGAACTACGTGTGTACTGTAAGAAATCTATTAAGGTTAGGTGAAATGATACAGCATAGCAAATTAAATAAGTAGTGTGTGTGCGTATATAGATATATATACAAACCATACATACATATATATACAAACCATATATACATAATTGAATATATACGAAGTATGTGTAAGAGACGTTGTACACACACATACAAATATGTAAAGAATTGCTAAATATCTGGTCAGCAAACAGTATCAGTGTTTTATGAGTTCTTGTGTGGTTTAAATGTTAATCCCTGGAAACCTTAATTGATTTTATTGGAGTAGAATTTCTACAAGGTGTTCCTAATTCCAGCAAATTACCAGTTAGGCACGTCTTTGAAGCATAGAGTTGTAGAATCATGGAATGGTTTGGGTTGGAAGGGACCATAAAGATTATCTGGTCAATTCCTTTTATGCAGAGGTGGCAGAAGCAAGAGAAATGTAACCTTGAGGGTAGCTCTTAAAATTGAAACATCTCATAAGATTTTGCTTTCTACAAATTTCAGGTTACTTTTCTAAGTCAGAATAGAGCTCTGTGTTCTGAAAGTGTGTGTGTGTGTCCCAAGAAGGCTGTCATTTAATCGCTTACCTAATTTGCACAGATCCAAGGTTTCCAAGCCATCCCTTGTTTGAGCAGCGGAGCCCCCCACCACCACCACCACCTCCACTTCTTAATAGCGCACATCCTGTCCCTACCCAAAACCCGATGCCATTCAGCCAGCCCGGGCCAGCATTTAATCAGCAGGGACAACAACCGGTGTTTCCCAGAGAGCGGCCGGTACGGCCGAACATGCAGCCTCAAGGTCCTGTGGGGATTCTCCACTTCAACCAGCCGGGTTCGGCAAATCCACGGCCGTTCATCCCTCCGAGGCAGCAGTTCCTGCAGGCACCCGGACAGCCCTTCCTGGCCGCACACACGCAGCCCAGCATGCAGGTATGCTCTGCAGCCTGAGGGGCCTGTGGGGAATGCGTGAAGTGACCCAGTGCTGCTTGCAGGTTTATAGAACTAGCCTAACTAAAGTGGGATTATTTGATATTACAAGCATGAGGTGGGTTGCCCTGTAACACTTTCTGTTGCTGTGCCTGAAAAGTGATTGATTTTTCTCCCTGGTTGCCAGCACTCGTGTATTTCTGATAGCGAGCCTGCAGCTCGGCGCTGGCTCCTTAAGTTGCCCGAGTCCCGCTGAGGTAGGGAGAGAGGCCCTGGCCCCTGTGGGGTCAGCAGCAGGGCGAGAGCGCCCTCTGCCGCTCAGCTGCGGAGCCCGGCAGGGAGCGGGGGGCCTCCTGCAGTGCGGGAGGAAGCAGAGTTGTTGCTTGAAGTGAGTAAATGTTTAGGGGACATGCAGAGTGATGTGGAGGGCCTAGCATGTTTTCATTATGTCTGTGTTTTGAACGTGAGGAAATTCTGAAGTCTGGTGATGTTAGGGAAAAATTAATTTTCAAAACCACAAAGAAACCAACCGGTTTAAAAGTCATTAGAAAAGGAATCAGGAGGCAGGAACCCTTGCATTCATCTTTTTCCACTTCAGCTGTTGACTTAAACACGTTTAAGTGTAGAACTACCTTGCACAGCTTCTGTTAGTCTGATATTTACTCAGAATATTTTTGGTTTTGCCTGGTCCATAGCTGCTTACAGGTGTTTTGAGGATGTGGGCGGTTGGAGTTACTTTTCAGGAATTTGTTCCCTTGAAACTGAAACCAAATAATCTTTTTCTTTGTGAAGGGTCCCTTGCATCCCCCGTTACAGCCTCAGCCCCAGCCTCAGCCTCAGCAGCACCATCACCAGCAGCAGCAGCAGCACCATCACCAGCAACAACAGCAGCAACACCATCATCATCTCCAAGGGCCACCACAGCCCTTGATGCCCATGAACCAGCCACAGTTCAGGCCTCATATGCAGGCCACACAGCAGCCACCAAATAGCAACAGGATGCAGTGTCAGCCGCGACAGGGGCCAATGAAGCCAAGGCATGTAAGTACCACATACATCAGGGTTGCCTTATGTAGCTCTGCATGGGTAGCAGTAGACATGTAAGAACAGGTTTCAGAAATCACCAGCATGGTTTTTCAGCCCCATTTATTCCCTTCGTGCTCTTCTTTCAGTATTTCTTGCTCTTTTTCTGCCTTGATAATTTTACATCCAAAACCAGCATGTGTATCTTTCCCTTTTTCTTTTCTCCTCCAGTCTTCAGTGTTTTTCTTGATCTGGGTCCAATAAGAGGTGAAGCAGTTGCCTGAGAACTGGCAATTAAGGGTTTGCTTAATAAGACTTGAAAACTGCTGGTAACTTGTGATTATGTAGAAGCCTGGTTCTCTGACACCGTCTTTCAATTTGAGGGTCTCTCTGTACCACTGCTAATAAGCTTTCTGGTTCAGATAGTGCCACTCATGTCTTGTGACTTTGTTCCCATGCAGTGTATTTTGTTGCTAGGTAGGCTGGGGTTGCACAACAATCTGTAGCAGTGTGCAATACATGATTGTAGTTCAGAATAATTGCTTTGATTAGGGAAGAAGATCTCACAGTGAAGCCAATTTCTGAGAAAGATGTTAAACAAGAGAGAATCAGTTTTGCTTTTAATTAAAAAAAGTTGTTAAAATGTTCGCTTTTCTATAATTTTTCTTCTCATGTTGAAAATATTGTGCCTCTTCAAAAAGCTTTTTTTCTCCAATCTTAACTAAATCATGAAAATGTGAAACTGGAAACACTTTAGTCTTGTTTGTAGTGGAAGTCTGCAGGTTTTTTTTTTTCCTTTCTGCTTTTCAGAATACACCATCTCAAAATATTGTCAAGCGTCCAAATCAGCAGCTACAGTCAACTGCTCCAAGAAATAGTAACTTGCGTGAGTTGCCAATAGCACCATCACACGCTATGGAAATGAGCAACAACAGGCGAACCTCTACCCCAGCCGCTCAGGTCAAACCCATCACCAGCACGATGTCTGCTGCCAAGTCTGTAACTGGTGCTGGAAACTCACAGGGAAGGCCTGAGATGAAAGCTAAAGCAATCACACCAGTGGGCCAAGCAAAATCAGAAGTAAAATCTGAACCAGAGGTAAGGCTTTCTTAAAAAACAAACAAACAAAAAACCAAACAAGAAACGACAAAAAAAGAACCTTTTAAAAACTTTTCTAGCCTGGCTTGTGAACTGTAAGCACACTTCATGTATTATTCACCCAATATTTTTTGGTGCCACTAGAGGCCTCCCTTCTGAGTTGCACTTTCTCTTTAATCTGATAATAAAACCTGTCTCTTGGTGAAAGACAACAACAGTCTGGAAGGTTGGCAAGGCTGTGGTGAATCTGTTTTGCAGGAGGAGTCGTCTACTATAAAAAGGCAGAGGTTGAGTAGAAGTCATCAATGATACAAGCTTTTGAAATAACCATTGTGCTCATTTTTAGCTTCCAGGATTATTTTTTTTTTCCAGGTAACTATGTTCTTTTTAAGTCAGAAAGTATTTTCCATTTCCTGTGATGCTGAAAGGCTCAAGAAAAAAAAAACACAAAAAAAACACTATTTGGGGAGCTGCCTTCCTCCTGCTGTTTTCCTTGAGGCTGTTCAGGCTCATCTAGGGTCTTGAGCGCTCATGCAGGAGTTTGCAGCTGCATTGTCCATAGAGCTTGCTCTTGAAGAAGAAAATCTTTCTTTTGTAGAAACCTTTTGGCATGAGGGAAAAAAGGAGATGCTCCTAAGTTTTCCATTTTCAGAGAAAATTATACTGTTTGCTCTGCTAATACTCTGCACAGTCCAGAAAGAGATGCCAGTGTTTGGGGCTCCTCTGGATGATGCAGTGTGAACAGATGACCATTTCACCGCTGGTTCTCCTGGAAGGTAGAGAAGACTCTCCATGAGCACTGTTAGGTTGAGAGGGTGGGTAGGATTGCACTGTAGGTGCTGTTAATCCTGAACATTGGGACGTACCAGAGGAGCATGGTTCCTGAGTTCACCCTGTGTAATTTGAGTGTCAGGTTAGTCTCAGCAGGACTGTAAATCTTTATGGTTTAGTTGACCATGAATCTTGTCTCAAGGACCAGGTTTTCTTCAACTATTGAAAGCTTTAATTGTGATAATAGTGTCTTCCCTTTAAGCTGCTCATGATTAGCTTTTCATCTTGTTCTTGAATTAAGGATGATCATAACTAATTTTCACAAATGAGGCACAAAAAACCCCTGTAGCTAGCAGTGTCTGACCTCCTGTGCACTTGCTTTTCAATTGAAATCTTTTCTTTAAATACTTTTTTTTTTCAGCTTCTGATTTGAATCTTTTTTTGAGAAAAATTACTGAAGTAACCCTCTTTTCCTCACTTTAGTCTCTTGGAATAATCGGAGTCACAGAAAATGCAATGCCTCTTAGGGAAGCCTCTGTCTTTCAGACTGTTAATAAGTTTTGAAGCAAATCAGCTACAGGCCTCCCCATCTAAACCATCTTCAAGTTCCTCCATAGTGCAGTCATATGAAAATTAAGGCATTAGTTCTGAAATATCTCTGGCAGTGTTTAGAAAAGTGCATTAATATCTTTTCACTCCTTTTAATAAAATTAATTTAAAAAAAACAAACAACCCCTCTAAAAAACCCAACAAAAAAATCCCCAACCAATCCTCCACCCCCAACCAACCAAACAATAAACCAACAAAGCCCTCAGATTGTTCTCTCCATTTTAAGCTTTAAACATATCCTAGCAAACTCGTAGTTATAAGACTTAACTAATCATACTTGTATGAGTTCTTGGAGGTTTACAAATAAAGCTTTCTTTTTATTTCTGCGTCAAAGCTGTCTTTGAAAACAGTTTGATACCTGCTTTATGTAAGTTTTTGCAAAACAATAAGAAAAAAACTGCCTTGGAAAAAAATGATCTCTTAGTGTTTCCTGTTAACCATGAAGGTAAGGCCTTTGTAAATACTCTTGGCAAGTACTGGAAAAGCATGTGAAGTTGTACACACACAGAACCCTTCTCCTTTCAGAACGGGCTTGAAACAGAGCGTTGTGCTGCAAACATTGCAGTAGCAGTTGTCCCTTTTCAGCTGTGCCGCTGCAGTGGTCCGGTTTAGTGATGCCACTTTTTGTCACTTCTCAAACAGGATTGCTGCACTAGTAATGTTCATTTCCAAGCATTTAGTCATATTCTTCACTGTTGTTGTAATGTAGGTTATTACATTTCTCTCCTTAGGCACATTGTAATGTTTTCCAGTAATTTTTATGTGTTTTTCTTGTCATGAGCTAACTTCGTCCTGTTCTTTTGCTTTCTATGAAGAAGAGAAAGAGTTAAGTTCTGTCATCTTTTCTAGCTGTATTGCTCATAACTGAATTGGGCAGGTTATTTTGCAAGTGTCTTCAACTGGAAAATTATTAAGACTTTTCTTTGCATCCTTCTTCCTGAAGAATCACTGCCATATTTATGAATGCCCTATCGTTCAGGAAGCACCAAAACAAATAGCACTATTGGCTATTAAAGGTTTTGCTCACCTTTAAAATAAATATTTGAAAGGTTTTGACCTGAGCGAATGGAAGATTAAAAACTCTATTTCTGCTTTACTAAAGCGATGATTGTGTTCCCATCCTGTGAGACTGCAAAATACTGACTTTAAATGTCTTTGTTTAGAATAGATATTACTTTCCAAATTTAAACTTACATCTCCTCAGTCTGAAAAACCACTTTGTCAATGAAATTGGGTAGTATGGGTCGTGACTATGGGCCTAATTGTGCTGATGTTGAGGTCAGTTGAGGATAACAGGAATTAAGGCAATATTAAGCATTTTTGAGTTCAGAGAAGGGGGCGAATGTAGAAAGGTAATGTGAATCTCTTTAGAAGAAATGGATACAGGAGCTCAGAACGGGAGAGGTATTAGTAGAGCACTGCATAATCATAGGTGTAGTGATATTGCTACTTATATTGCAGTTAATGTCCCTGATATACTGAAATAAAACCTTCACATTCCGTTCTCCCTCATCCAGTCAATTTTGAAGTTGGGTAGCTGAATTTTATATTGCTGTCATTTTTTAATAAGGCTCACAATATGGAAAATAGTTGCTGTTATTTGAACAAATGCATCTAAATATTTTCATCTTGTTGGAGATTAACTACTTGATAGATGTTTAAATTGGACCTTTGTTCAGTTTAAATAGACTTGATTTCCAAATTTTGATAATGGTGCCTCCTGCCTTGTTTGGAAGATTGTCCTTATCACAGTCCTTTTCCAGTTGGAAGATTGCAAGAGGGCAGTGTGCTTCTCAGAATAACTTTTAATCTTGTTCTTAATCCTCCTCCTGTTTGTCCAAGATGTACAGCACCTGTGTTTTGTAGGATGACTCATTCCTTCCTGGGGTTCAGGAGCTGATGTTATCAGCAATGTGAAACATGTGATGTGTGTGTAGATGGCTTTATTTAAGGTGTTTTGGTATTTGAACACAGGCAGCCAAATGATGCAGTTTGGATCTGGCCTTACCTTTTATGAAGACTTGTAATGAATTTTGTGACAAATTATTCTATCCTCTTATGTTCCTAATGTTGCAACTGGGAAAAAAAAAAACCAGCCTGCTGAGTAGATTTGTGTTTATGCCACAGACCAAACCATTTTGATTGTTCTGTCCTTGTACCTGTTCTGCTGAGGGGCACAGGTGAGCCTGGTTACAGGATTCCTTTTTTGTTCCTTGACAGCAAGCGAGAACACTTGCAGTATCTGGTTCTTAGGGCTCTGCGTTGAATTCTATTAATGAGTAATAAAGCCTGAAGCTCTCTGAAGAGATACGGGTTTTTTTTAAAATGCGCCATGCAAAAGCAAGCTTCTGATACTAGGACTTAAATTTCATAGGAAGTATAATCCCTTTTTTTAGAGCATGGCTTTGCTGCCTTTTCCTCAGTTAGCAATGCCCTTCTAAGTTCTCCTGGAGAATGATGTAGGACTGTGCTTTGCTTACTGCTGCTCTTCAGCAAGACTCAGAAAAGCAATCTGTAGCATTTGCTTCTGGCACTTTCCATCAAAGCAGGTTTGGACCTTAAGGCAGAAGAAGAACCTTTAGCTAAGCCTTGGTCTTCCCTTCAAACTACAGTGCTATACGTTGTGCCCAAGAACTGTTCAACGATGGATGAAAATGTCCACTTAAAAAAAAATAATAAAAACCAAAACAAAACCAAAACTCCCAGAACCCAACAAAAAAAAAATTGCTTCCACAAAATCAATGGAACTGATTTGCATCTCTGGTTTTTATACTCTGTAGTCTCCAGTAAAAGGAGGAGCCGTATATAATGTATTGTTTCTTCATGTTCTGGAGTTTTCTACAGAAACTACAGTAACTGTTCATCACAGATTCCCAGTTTTTGAGAAACAGTGTAGCAGTCTTTTATGCTGTAATTTACCAATATACAAGGTACTGTTACTTTGAGAGCTGTTTTTCGTTAGGAGTGATTAATGTGTCTTGAGTAGAATGTTGTGGTAGTTGCCATCTGTGAGCAGTCTCTACAAGTCTAACTTTAATATTTCAAATGGCTGAAAAGAAAAATACAAGATAATGAAAAAATATGCTTTGTAATTTTGAAAAATGCATGTGATTGTATCGCAAGAGCAATTTGATTTCTTTTCCAGGATAATGAGTATCTGCATTTCCTTGACTCATGTCAATTTTTATACAGCTTTTCATAAGAACCCTTTCTGTCAAAGTTGAAGAATCTTTAGAAAGGTTATTTGATGGTGTGTTATACTTTCAGAAGGGCCCAGGGCTGGAATATTAAAGGCATTCTCTATATACCATTAATATTCTAACACTGCATTTGGCAACATTTTGATTCTGAAGAGAGTGCATGAGTTCAAGGTCAGAGAGATTGACTTGTGCTGTTCATTATAACCAATTATTGTGTGACAAATGAGTTTGAGATCAGGCTGAAAATTCTGTGAGAAAAATCAATAGTTCTAATCAGGGCCTTTCAGGTCATTTACCACCGTACCTTTTGTTACTTTGTCAGAAAAGAGCAAGATAAAACCTGTGTGACAGTGGGTTGCCTCAGTATTGTTACTTGCCATTTGAAACATATTTTGATATCTTGAATTATATTAATAGTTTAATTGGTTTTAGAAACTTCTAAATGAGTTCCAATTTGCAAAACTTCTTTTCTTTTTCTTTAGTATTCTGATAAAATTTCTGAACTGGTATTAGAGCTTTTTTTTTCTGTCAAGGAAGTAGTATATCCAAGTCCTAAACCAGATTTGAGCTGTTTGTCTGTAATGAATACCAAACAAACCTTACCAGCAGATATACTCCACTAACAGTCTTAGTTTGGTATTGCGGATAACTTAAAAAGCTCTTCAGAGAGTTATAGCTTTATGACTTCTGAAACAACAATTTAGTGTTGTTTTGGCCAAGCTGGGCATTTGTGGATAATTTTATTAATTAATTTGTATTTTCCTTTGTAGTATCCAGATGAAGATGAAGAAACTAGATTGTATCGTTTGAAGATAGAAGAGCAGAAGCGTCTAAGAGAAGAAATTTTGAAACAGAAGGAGCTGAGGCGGCAGCAGCAGGCTGGTGCTCGAAAGAGAGAGTTGCTGGAAAGACTCGCGCAGCAGCAGCAGCAGCAACCTTCAGCTCAGCAGTCCTACATGCAGCAGGAGGACGACTCCGACGAGTACCCCACCAACGGCAGCCCTTACATACCCCACTCTGGCTTACAGACCAGGCAAAATGTGAAAAACAGACTCCTTGTTAAAAAGCAAGACACATTAGTTCCAAATATCCACCCCAAACCCACAGATTACTCACCAGTGGGGGCGAATATGCAGTATCAAGGACAGCAGATGAAGCCAGTGAAGCAGCTGAGGCAGACTAGAACAGTCCCTCTGAGTCAGCCTCAGACGCCGCAGAAAGTATTGCAGACAAAACCTGCTGCAGCATCGCTGCCCACGACACAGACTCCTCGAGTGGCTTCAGTACAAGCAAGGCCCCAGGAAATGAAACCTGGCGTGAAAAGGACTGTCATGCAGCGGACAAACAGTGGTAGTGGAGATGGGCCCCATGTCGGCAGCAAAGTCAGGGTGATTAAGTTGTCAGGAGGGGTAAGTTTCCAAGGCTCATCTCATGTGTGTGTGTCGTCGTGGCTTGTTTTTGTGTGTTTCCTTCTGTGTAATCCCGAAATAAAAAATGGGCCTAAGTTGACAAGGGAGGTAACAGGTTTAGCAGACCTAATAGTATATCTTATATTTTATTTTATTTTATATTTTCAGAACTTTAAGTTATTAGCAGTTATTCAGAAACTAGTGTTTCCTGTAATGCTTTACTGCTAAGCTTTACTGCTAAGCAGTTACCACTGAAATAATACTCCTTTCTTAAGTTTTAAGTTGTAACTTGAGTCTAAAAGACTCCTCAGCTGAGCTCCTTTTGCTGACACTTGGTAATTCTGATAACAGCTCAGAGAAAAGGATTCAGGTGGCTGTTTTTAAGGTTTGGTTAAAAAGCTTGGCTCTACTTATTTGGTAGTTGAAGCCACCTAATTTGATTGTGTGCAGATGCTGGTGTTAGTGTGGTTTCTGTACTCAAGGGAAGATTGTTTTTATTTTCTTGGGAAGTATGAAACTAATTCAAGCAGTATATTGGAGGGCGATGTTTTCTGTTAGAGGCTGGGTTTAAAACATTACCATGTCACTTCTGCATCTAAATGAGATTTCCTTATCTTTTGATGAGGAGTCTATTATCTGCAGAGTGTCCCTTGAGCACTGGTGTTGTGGAGGACTCACAATGCTAGTCTTGATGGCAGTGTGCATATTTAAGATCTGGGGCTTTGGTTAGAAAGTATCTCGACCAAATTTCTTCTGTCTTAATGAAAAGACAAGTTAATTTGTTAAGGCTCTGAAGAAACCGAGATGAGGGGTCATAGCAAGATCTCGTTGTCAGTGTGAAATCTGTCCTCGGATTTATGCTGAGGAGAGAAGAAAGATGTAATGTGGTTTAATGCTGTGGTACATCAGAGGTGGGTTGTTTTGTTTTTTGTTTTTGTTTTTTTTTTTTCAAGAATGCTTCTTAAAATATTCAGAGCATTAATTAGGGAAACTTGCAGAGCTGCTGTAGGTCTGTAATGAAGTGAACAGTGTGCTAACGGGAACTGAACAAGGCCTTGGAGGCTAGGCTAGGCTCTACTCTGTAGAAATGAAAGAGAAGTCAAAATGTCTAAGTCTCAGACTACTTTTATAAATGTTTTTCTACAGCTTGTAAAGCTTAAATACATTTAAAATTGTGAACTCCATAATGACCACATGGCCTTTCAAAATAAAGGGCCTACATAGAGCTGACAACTGCCTGACTTGGAGGATGTCTAATTCCTCAGATGTGATAACTTAAGTACAGAAGAATAAAGTACAAGTCATTGAAAGAAATTGATTCTGTTGGGCTAAAGGTATTTTTATATAAATATGTCTGCAGGAATCCCAGTGGTGTGCAGGAGGTATGACAGGTTTGTTATTCATGAATAATTGAAGAAAGCAATCATGCACAACTTCTTTTATTATGTGGTGAAACAAAACAATGCCAGTCACCACTGTGTACAGCTCTTCGTAACAGATGGTTGTCAGTTCCCACAGTAGCATTCACAATGAAATAGTTTTTATCATAATGCTCTAGTTTGGAAAACCATAAATGATTTGTTTCAGATAAGTCTCATGGTAAGCAAGAGCAATTAGCTTCATTAAATGCATGTGTAGCCCCCTCTTTCATTGTATGCAGAAGCAGATTTGCTTTGTCCTTAACTTTCAGATACGAAGGTTTTAGCAAGGTGAAGTAGGTTCTTCACATGTAGCCTTTGTTACTTTTTTCGTATTGCCATGGACATTTTAAGTTTTTCTTCCAACTGTGGAAGTATAAAAGCAAGTGTTGCAATTAGCTGTTCAACACTGATGAAGATAATTGATTTTAATCAGTTAGTGACAAGCTGAATCTGTGACTCTTTCTTCGACCACACAAGATAAAAAGACAAAAATTGAGCAACAGAGAGGCCAATCTGGTCTATTTTGACAGGATTTTAAAGAAGAATTAAAAGCTGCTTGGACTCTGGGTACTATAGAGTTCACAGATCACATTTATTTTCCACTTGCACTGTTTAGTGCTGCCACACACTTGACTTATTTTCACAGCTTATGTCTCAACCCTAAATATAAAGCAAAAGCCAAATCCCATTTTTCCTAGCCATTCTCCTTAGCATATAATAGTGCTTCCCCTAATTCCCTGCCTTTGGCCAAAGGGATGGCTGGTATCTTACTTATCAAGTCTTACTGTCTTGATCCTGTAGTGAAGCAGCCCTGCTGTTTCAGTCTTACCCTTTGTACCCTTTTTTCTTTCTAGAGCTCTTTTGTGCAGAGATATTTTGAATACCCGTGTAGGAGTGAGATGGCTTACGATTAGACACGATTCAAGTTCCTTTTTGCAGCTCTCTTGGTTCACGTTGGTAAAGATTCAAAGTCTTTATTGTGCCATGGTGGTAGAGCTGTCAGCTGAAGAAGCTGATGGAGGCCAGACCCATACTAAGTCTTGTCTATACCAAATTGACCTAAAGCAGGAGCTGGTAGCAAGCTCTGTTCTAGATTTCATAGGATCATCCGTAGGACAGGATTACATTGCTGGTGATGGGTTTTTTTAACAGTTAAGATGATGTACTTAATGTATTGGTGAGATGGATGCTGTACAAATACTGCCAGACGAGAATGGTTTCTTCTCTTGAGGGCAATATCTTTCCTAGTCTAAGCTTCTAACTATGTTTTTTGTGTTGCTGGGTGCTGCAGTACTACTGAGGATCTCTGACCTCCAGGTAGAGGTGTCCTTTGTTACTTAAGAAGGTAAAATGGCCTTTCATCTCTTTCCACTATGTTATCTCTTGAAATTATTTTGGTTTTTAAGTGTTTTTATAGAATTGTAAGGATCATTAATTAAATTCCAAGAAATATTTTAATTTGTCCAGTTTACCTGATGCATAGGATGCCCTAATTTATGGCTTCTTATACTTAAAAGGAAAGTAGAAAACAATTCAGCATTTCCTTTATGTCAGACTATGTCTGCATATCAAGGTGACACGTTAGGTACTGTCATTAATGATTTTGTCTAATGCCTTTTTTAAACTAATCCCACCCCCCTGGCTCCCCCTGGATACTGATATGCCCATCCCTTTCTAGTACTGCTGTAATTTATACAGGAGTGGCAGTATAGTGAATAGTTTTCCATTTTAATCACTCCTTTAAATGTTATGTTCCTGGAAAATGAGGCAATGCTCAGTGTTTAGCAGATGAACTTTGATTTTTTTTTTATTTTTTTTTTTTTAATGGAGGCCCAAGTATCTTTTGATGTGCTTTATGGTTTTTGTGGCATGTCGTCAGAGCCCCACGTTCCAGATACAGGAGTTCAGTGTATTTGCTGAGTATTCATACTAGTATATTTTACTAAGAAAACATCTGAGATTTGCCTGGCTTGGTGAGGAGCCTGAAGTCAACCTTAAAGATACTTGTAAGAATAAACTCAGAATATAGAGTGTTTGTTGGGAAGAAACACCCTAATAATTCACTTAAAAATATGATCATAAGATTATAAAAAATAAGGGTGAGAGGACCATAGAAATGTCTGTCTTGAAGCAGGGCTGAACTCGGTAACATTCCTAACAGATTCATCCAACCTTTTTCTGTCATCTCATTATTGGAGATTTCTTTGGCCATCTATTCCAGTGTTTAATGTGTAGATCTGGGAGAATTTCCTTACTGACCAAAGCACACTTTCTTCCTGCAATTTTGAATCTGTGATTATTTGTATTATACTTTGAGAGACGGGAAAGAATTTCTATCCCTCTTTATGACTGACTCTCTCTTTAAAGATCTCTTAACTGTTTCTGAGCGCTAATATCCTGCATTCCCTCTTGCATGTTCGTTAACACCTTGGCTGTTTGTGGTGGTAGTCTTTGGGCTCTCTGTGATCAATCTCTTGGTAAACAGTTCTAGTACCAAGTGTAATTGAATTCCTTAAGCCAATATATTAGAAGTGTGTTTAGTCCTGGAAGAACAGGTTTGTACGTACCAGCTACAACTTTAAATATCAGAAGATCATATAAAATACATGCTGAACATGTTTGTCATTTAGTTGGAGGTTCTGTGGGAAATGGTAGTGTCTTAAAATCTCTGTATCATTCAGTGATCTTATATTGTTGTTGGGTGATTTCTCTCTAGCAAGAAAATGGTCTGCCATGCTCAGAGAGATGTGTGTCTGTCCCAAAGGCCTGAAAATGCTGGTTCATATGCTGCATCGAGAACACACCAATCTTTGTCTCTGTGGAAAGCTGCACAATGAGCTTTTTTAAATAAATACCTATATATAAGAATACATAAAAATCTCAGTGTTCCTTGTTGGATTAGAAGCAATATCTTATTAGTGATCATAATTCCTGAAAACCTGAGATGATGCTTCATCTGAAGAGCTTGAAGAAAGGTTTGGCAAGTTTTGTTTGAAAAGCCCATCACAAAAATTGTCCCTGGATTGTAAAAAGAAAAAGAGAATTGGAATGGAAGATAAGACAACTTTCTTCATATTTGGAACAACTGAGAAGTGTGAGATGAATATCAAGTACCAAATACGGGAAAAGATACTGATTTGAGATGGTTATTGTCTGATAATGTAACCTTATCAACCAACTTTGCTTGATGTTTGTACTTGTTTCTACTTGCATGTGTATGTTCAAGTTTTAATTAAAAATATTTGACTTGAAAGCTCTATAGCGCCTTTCATCTAAATATGTCAGGAATTACAAGCATGAAGATTTTCGACATTTGCATGACAGGTTCTTGAGGGAGCCCTTCACCAGAGCACAGCTCTGCAGTGCTGCCAGCTGCGAGAAACACAAATACTCTCACTGTCTACCATACTATTACTTTTTTAAGAAGCAGGAGAATGGCATTGTGGTTTATTCATGTCCACCATTTGAAGGAGGTATGGATAGTGTCTGTATTCATTTAGCAGGAGACCAGCGGAGCTGCAGAAACTATACCTGAATGCCCAAACACAATGTTTGTAATGTGAAGAGTGTCAAAGTGGG